TTCTCTTCCTCCGTCCCCCTCTGGAACCAGTCTGAACACAGGACGGTCCACTGTGCCTGTCAGTTTCCGTAGGGTGGTTTCCTTGTCGGGTGGACAGCCCATCCCTAACCAGGATCAGGTGTGCACCAGGCCCACGCCACACCAGCACGCTGGGGAGTCCCTGACTGGTAGGCCCTTCAGTGGGCTTACGACGTGGTGCAGAAGGAAAGACTGAGACGTAGATTAGAAAGTGCCACCCAGAACCTTAAACCACGATGCTGAGTGACAGAGGCAGGCACAGAGGGACAAACGTCATCTGACCCCACTTCCAGGAAACACCTGGAATAGACAGAGGCAGACAGGGACAGAAAGGGGCTCAGTGACTGCCAGGGGCTGCTGGTGGGGGAGGGGCAGTTACTGCTTAATGGTCCCAGGGCATCCTTTGGAAATGGATGAGGGTGACAGTGGCCAATGGTGAATGCCATTCACGGAACTGCAGTGTGACCTAACTGACCAAACTCACTGCCATCAAGTCTATCCAACTCCTTGGGTTTCTGAGGTGGTATCACTACAGAAGTCGATTGCCCAACCTTCCTTCCGAGGAGTGGCAATGGTGTGTTTCGGGTTATAGATATTTTACCATAATTACATGTATTTGTTACTTAAAGAGCAGGGATGATGTTTTTACATTAAAGAGATGGAGAGTGAGAGATGAGGACGAGCCTCTGAGCAGCCAATGCCGGCAGGTGCTGCTGGGCTGGGCCCCGTCAGGCTCTCACCCACTGGGTGAAGGTCATCTCCACCGCACAGTGCACAGCACCCCTACAAGATGGCCCAATCGGGAGCTACACAAGGTTTCTACTCTTGCACCCAAAGGGGTCCCAAAGCTCTGAGTGGCAGGGAGGACTGGTGACCCAAAGGGGTCCCAAAGCTCTGAGCAGCAGGGAGGACTGGTGACCCAAGCCCGAGGGGGTCCCAGAGCTCCAAGCGGCAGGGAGGACCAGTGACCTACAACAGAGGGAGGCCTAGTGCTTAGAGTGGCAAGGAGGATCAGGTGAGCTGAGGTCACCCCAGTCACTTTGGTGATCGTTAACTTTGGGTGATTACCAAGGACTTAACAGCTTGGGTACCACAGCACTGAGCCTACTGAAGTCCCCACTTGCCAGGTAAATGTTGTTGTTGTTGTTATGTGCCGCTGAGTCAGACCCGACTCGTAGTGACTCCTCCTTGGGTTTCCGAAGCGCTATCACTACGGAAGTAGATTGCCCCATCTTCCTTCCGAGGCGTGGCTGGTGGGTTTGAATCACCAGCCTTCTGGTTAGTAGTCATGTGCCTTAGGCAGAGCAGCCAGGCAAACAGAAAGGGACATAAATTCCAACTTGCTGGCAGAGCAGTTGGGTTTTCACTGTGCATGGTTGGTTGGGCTGGGGCTGATCAAACAGGACTAAAAACAAAACAAACAAGCCCGCTGCCACGGAGTGATTCCAACTCACAGCGGCCCCACGTGTTACAGGGTGGAACAGCTCCAGAGCGTTTTCCTGGCTGTCATCTTACTGAGAAGCAGCCCTGGTACATGGTGGTTAAACCCTTGACTGCTAACTGAAAGGTCGGCCAGTCCAACCCACCAGCCGGGCTGTGGGGGAAAGATGTGGCAGTCCCTTTCCATGAAGATGACAGCCTTGGGAACCCTACTTTGTCCTACAGGGTTCCTGAGTTGGAATCAACAGGACAGCACCCAACACACCCATCTTCAGGCAAGAAATCACCAGGACTTTCTCTTGTGGCACCACTGGGGG